ACCAAACTATCGGCCAGCTATCGATTAGATGATTGCTTGATGATATTTGGTTTATATTTTTGATTTTGACCAGTGTGTTCTACTACTATTAAAGAATCTATATCTACTCAAATTAAACAGTTAGTACTGAAAGTTCACTTAGATCTAACATCGTAAAGCAGCAATCTGGCAAAAATATTTTCAGTATTTTTAAAATATAATATAGTCTTGCGTGGTCCAATAAACAGCCATATATTTTTGTTTTCAAGACAAAATCTGTCAGTTTTGAGATCTTTTTGAGATTCTTTTGCATAATAAATATTAACACCTCTCTAACATTAATAATGTTATCTAAGATGATTTTTTATTAGTAAAATGTTAAGTTTTAAAAAAATACTTTAAAGTATATAAGTAAGTTACCCAGGCAATTGATCTATATCAGCCAATCAGATGAACTTCCTCCTATGACTCCAAATGTGATTATCATGAAATTCACGCTAATTGGCTAATTTATCGTGTACAATACTAAAAATTTGGGTTTTACAAAAATGATACAACGCTTTTTCTTAAAACATAATGTAGTTTGATATTTCATATTTATATTCAGCAAGGCTTTAGCTTCTCTGATCCTCTACTGATCCTATTCACTTTAAAACTTTTACTAGTGATATTGTCAATGAGTAAATTACGTAAAAAATATATAATATTAAAAGGTTTTGTAGCTTTTTGTTGTTTGAATTGGTCGCAAAGTAACTTATTTATATACTTTAAAGTACTTTTATAAGCATATAATACTTATTGTTATTGCTGCATAATAAATACATACAAATTTTAATATTAATACTCATTATGTTAAAACTGAAATACTAGTTTATTAGATATGCAAATATTAAAATCAGTCAACTAAAAATGATGCCAAAATATTTAGGTAAGCTTTGAAAAATTTTTATAATATTGCTATATATATTATTAAACAAATGAATTTAATAATAATGATTGTAATACTTATATCTTGTGTTGTGTAATTAATTTTATAGAAGTTAATTGTCGAATAAATATAAATGTTAGTTCAGTAAAATATATATAAGTGATAGTTTAATTTAATAAGAATAAAGAATATAATATGTAGTGATTTGACCTGTCTAAAAAAACTTCATCCAGGTCACCTGTCGGTAGGGTTGGGGACACAAAAAATCATCACACAGGATACAATATAACACTCTAAATCATCATATAGTAATAATTAGTAAAATATTACAGTGTAATTAATAATTTCTATATAATGATTAGCATCACTCCCACGTGCCCCTATGACAAATTAAAATCATACTTCCGTGCAGTATTGTCATAAGACACAGACACGGACAGCGGACAGTCTAGAACAGAATATTCGCAGACATATTCGCAGAAATATTTTTTGTTCTGAACATATATTAATCAACACATGATTATTAGCCAATAAAATTATTCAATATGCATGTAAATTACTATCACATATCAAGCAACTATCATTATTTTACACACAACCCAGATCAGAGTTACAGTTTTACATATAGCTATATATTTATATACAATTTGGACTTTCTTGAACGTTGAACATATTGGAAGTATAATGCTGATTGAATCAACCTATCCGTTAATATTTAAATAAAATAATAATAAATTTTAAGCTTATTAAGATAATAAGTCAAACCGAATATAAAGTTTTTAAAATTTACTTTCGATATATTCATATATTTTAGACAATTCGATTGGCTTGTATAGCAGACATATCCTGGACATAGTAGAGACAAAGTTAAAATTTAGCAGGACAGTGTCTGTGTACAATGCTCTGCTAGAATATCATTGCGAACATGGGACATAGGACATTGTCCGGGACTGTCCATGTTTCTGCAAAATTGGCAGGACAACGTCCATATACAATACTGCCCCTGTGCCCCAACTCTACCTATCGAGCAGACAATAAGTCACCCAGGTGGAAATTCATGGAAAGACATTTATATGATTGGTTAATTTTTGTAGATCAACCTGTAATTTCCCATGATAATTAATCAATCAATTACAAGAATTTATTATTTTAATCGTTTTTAATAATATATTAATGAATGAAAAAAAACACTATACAAATAGACTTACAAATTAATAAACACATGCAAAGAATTTATCTCATACTTAGAGAATAGATAAATATATGTAAAATGAAATCAATGTGGTATTTATTACTAATAAACCCGAACTTATTAAAGAATCTACAAGATTTAAATCCAAACATTAAATTTACAGTTGACAAACCTAGACAAACTACAAGAACCAACAAATTTTTAAAGACTAAACCCAAATTTTTGGCTACTAAAAAGCTTGTATATATTCAAATTAAACATTAGTAATAAGGTTCATTTGAATTTGAAGAAATAAAGCAGCTTAAGCAAACAAGGTATTTCCATTATATAGTATAACTTTGCATAGCCAAATAGGTGACAATATATTTTGACTTCTAAACAAAGTTTGTTATTTTTGAGATTATTTTGAGATTATTTTTTACAATGAATATTGACGTTTATTTAAAGTAAAAAATAACTTTCATGATAATTTTTTATTAGTGAAACGTTATAATCTCAAAAAGTACTCTAAAATATATAAATAAGTTACACAAATAATTAATCTACATTAGCCAATCAAATGAATGTCTGACCATGAGAGTGGAAATAGATCAAGATAGAACCATCTCAAATAAGAGGGTCATCTAAAGTGAAGCAGATTTGCATAGACTATCAATTAACATAACTGTGCCCTACGCATAGTATGATATTAATGATTCTTAATAACAATGTTATGTATTTTTTGAAATTTATACAAAGATATCTCGATAACTACCTATTTAAAATTGATGATTCTTTTTTTATTTAAATTCTATAGATTCATAGAATTAAAATAAAATAAAAAATATTAATTTTGAATAGGTAGTCATCGAGATATTATCACTCAAAGTTCAAAAATAAATTTAAATGATTATTAAAATAGACTTTGGCTAAGTTTTTTACAAACTTTGAACGATGATATCTTGATAACTACCTATCTAAAATTAATGATTTTTTTTTATTTTAATTCTATTGATTCATAGAATTAAAATAAAAAAAAAATCATAATTAATTTTGAATAGGTAGTCATCAAGATATTATCGCTCAAAGTTCAAAAATAATTTTAGACAATCAAAATAGACTGCGGCTAAGTTCTTTACAAATTTTGAATGATAACCATCTATCTCAAATTGATAATTTTTTGTTTATTTTAATTCTATGGATTTAGAAAATTAAAATAAAAAACAATTCATTGATTTTGAATAAGTACTTATCGAGATATCATCGCTCAAAGTTCAAAAATAAATTTAAACGATTATTAAAAGACTTTAGCTAAGTTCTTTACAAACTTTAAATGATGATATCTCAATAATCACCTATCTAAAATTGATGATTTTTTTTTATTTTAATTCTTTGGATTTATAAAATTAAAATAAAAAAAAAATTATTAATTTTGAATAGGTAGTCATCAAGATATCATTGCTCAAAGTTTAAAAATAAATTTAAACGATTATTAAAATAGACTTTGGCTAAATTCTTTACAAACTTTGAATGATGATATCTCAATAACCACCTATCTAAAATTGATGATTCTTTTTTTATTTTAATTCTATGAATTTATAGAATTAAAATAAAAAAAATTATTAATTTTTAATAGGTAGTTATCGAGATATTATCACTCAAAGTTTAAAAATAATTTTATATGATCAAAATAGATTGCGGCTAAGTTCTTACAAACTTTGAATAATAATATCTCGATGACCACCTATCTGAAATTAATAAAATTTTTTTTATTTTAATTCTATGGATTCATAGAATTAAAATAAAAAATTTTTCATTGATTTTGAATAGGTAGTTATCAAGATATCATTGCAAAGTTTAAAATTTAAATGATTATTAAAATAAAGATTGTGATCAAGTTCTTTACAAACTTTAAATGATAATATCTCGATAACCACCTATTTGAAATTGATAAATTTTTTTTTATAGATTCATAGAATTAAAATAAAAATTTTTTATTAATTTTAAATAGGTAGTTATCGAGATATCATTGCTCAAAGTTCAACAATAAATTAGACGATTATCAAAATGAAGACTGTGACTAAGTTTTTTACAAACTTTGAACGATGATATCTCGATAACCACCTATCTGAAATTGATAAATTTTTTTTTATTTTAATTCTATGGATTTGTAGAATTAAAATAAAAAAAAATTATTAATTTTGAATAGGTAGTCATTTAGGCAATTATCAAAATGAAGACTGCAGCTAAGTTTGAACAATAATATCTTAGTAACTATCTATTCATTAGATAGTTATTGATATTTTTCAAAATAATTTATACAATTACTGAATTAACTAATAATTTTTATTTTAAAATCTTATTTTAAAATTTTTATTTAAAAAAATCTCTATATATAATATAAAAACTATCTAAAAAACTATTACAAAATAGTATTAAAAAAAAATAAAAAAATAAAATAGAAACCCACCATGAAATGACATAGAAGCCCACTACGAAACAATGCAAAAATCTACCAAGAAATGATGCAGAAACCCACCAAGAAACTACCAAGAAACGATATAGAAACTCATCATAAAAACAATGTAGAAATCCACCAAGAAATAACGTAGAAACTCGCCAAGAAACAATATAGAAACCCACCAAGAAACAACGTAGAAACCCACAAAGAAATAATATAGAAACCCACCAAGAAACAATGTAGAAACCCACCAAGAAATGACGTGAAAACCCACCAAGAAATGACGTGAAAGCCCACCAAAAACGACGTGAAAACCCACCAAGAAACGACGTAAAAACCACCAAAAAATAACGTAGAAACCTACCAAGAACAACATAGAAATCTACCAAGAATAATGTAGAAACCCACCAAGAACGATGTAGAAACCCACCAAGAAATGACGTGAAAACTCACCAAGAAATGACATAGAAACCCACCAAGAAACAACATAGAAACCCACCAAGAAACAACATGAAAACCCACCAAGAAATGACATGAAAACCCACCAAGAAATGACGTGAAAACCTACCAAGAAACGATGTAAAAACCCACCAAGAAATGACGTGAAAACCCACCAAGAAATGATGTGAAGACCTACCAAGAAATGACTTGAAGACTCACCAAGAAATGACAAAGAGACCCACCAAGAAACGACGTAAAAACCCACAGAAAATGATGAAGAGACCTACCAAGAAACAACGAAGAGACCCACTAAGAAATAACAAAAAGACCTACCAAGAAACAACGAAGAGACCCACCAAGAAATGGCAAAGAAAACCACAAGAAATGACAAAAAAAACTACCAAGAAATAACGAAGAAAACCACGTAGAAATCAACGTAAAAAACCACATAGAAAACTACCACAAAACGGTGATAAAAACTTAAAAAAACAAAAAAAACAAGTATTAAAAGTACTTACCCAATACTAAAACTATAAAAGGATAGTGAACTATAAAAGGTTAAGTAAAAGATAAGAAAAATATAAGGTAAAAAAAAAAATACAAATATTATTTTGTCAAAAAAATAAAAAATTACGATCTATATGATTGCTAATCTATAGATTACATAACCGTATACTATGAGATAGTATGTTAATTGACATTCTATACAAATTTGCTTCGTTTTAGATATCTTCTAAATAAGAAAATAATGATCTTGATCATGCATATTGGTTTAGCCAATTAAAATCATAAATTTTTATTATGTGAGAAATATCACATGTTTATTAGTCAATCAAATCATACAGGTGGATGACAAAAATATTTCCACACCTAAAGACTTGGCTTATAACTCAAAAACTTACTAATTAACTTATATCCTTGACTTGACTATATGGGCTAGGTGCTACAGAAAAGAGAGAAATCAACAATAAAAAAGATCTTCAGAAAATCAATTTTTATGTTATAAATTTTATAATAAGTTATAAGAAATTAT